GGGAAAACTACAGTGACCGCAATGGTAGAGGGAAGAAATCATACACTGTACAAAAATTAAGTAAAATCTAAAGAGAAAATTAACATATAGTGAATGAGGGAGTAAAATGGTACCACATGAGAGCTGGAGGTAGGCATCTCTCATAGTCCAAACTAAGAAATTTATACTTTATTGTAGGTATGACAGGAAGTTACTGAAGGAGTATCATCAAAAGAGGGATATGAATTTATGTTTAAAAAAATCACTTTGATATGTGTAGCAGTTTTACTGATTATCATTAAAAAATGGAAACAACCTCAGTGACTATAAACAGGGAAATGGATGCACAAATTATAATCTACCCACACACTGGACTACTGCAGTGCAATAAAAAGGAACAGAGAAACTGTGGGTTCAACATGAATAAATCTCAAAAGCAATAGGTTATGTGAAAGAAGCTTGACTCAAAAGGTTATGCAATCACATGACAGCTGCCCGGGGTTGCAGAAAAGGAAGGAGACAGGCTACTTGAGAATGGGAAGGACTCTTTCAGAATGATGGAAATGTTTTTTGTTGTTGTTGCTGTTTTTTCTTTTTCTTTTTTATTTATTTATACATACAGAACTGGGGTGCAGGCCAGAGGCGCAGGGGGTGGTGAGAGGATTCACCAGAGACAGAGGTGGGGGGCAGAACAGGCAGACTGACGCAGTACACTGCTGAGGGGAGCAGTGGGTAAGACAGGAGAGGTCTGCTGCAACATGAGGGTCACCTCCTGGGTGGGGGATTGAACTTGCACTGAAGTGGCTGCGGCTGGCTTGTAGTGCTACCTTCTAACCCACAAGGGAGGGTTGATGGAAACATTTTTTATCTTAATTGTGCTGGTGACTGCAGAACTATACACATTTGTTTAAAGCTCAAACACTGTAATGAATCTTAGTGCACATTAATTGTATGTCAATAAACCAGGATTTTTTTTTTTTAATCACTTACTCTATGTGAAGGGTAGACTGAAGGGAAATAAGAAGTTGGGGTGCAGGGAAAATGGTCTTAGACTATTTCCAACTACTCTGGGCATTCTTAGTTTAAGGTTATCTCATAGATGCAGAAGTGAATAAACTCAGAAGACAGTTGCTCTGAGTCTGTATCTCTTATCTTCACTCTAGTCATGCACTGTAGTATTTCCACACTTGCTACTGAATTAGACTTGTTAACTGCATATTCCACCACCTACCCTCTCTTTGAGTGTGGAAACGGTTTCATTTCCACTGCACTTTCCAATATTGCAGTCACCAACCACAAGTAGCTATATAAATGGCAATTAACTAAATTCAATAAAATTAAAATCTATGATCTTGGTCACAGTAGCCCCATTTGATGTGTTTCAAAGCCACATTTCCATCAGCACATAAAACTCTACTGGATGGTGTTGTTCTAGAAGATTATTTCAAAATTTCCCTGGAATGATAACACTTATTGATTCTGAAGACCACTTCAGAATAATTGCCAAGCAACACAGGTTCTTCACTATTAATCAGCAACAGTGATATCTCAAGGCATTGCTGCATAAAGTAAATCATGCTTGTGTACACTGTGAAAGAGTTCCACCTTTCACATTGGGGATTTTCTCTGAAAAACCTAAAAGCTTTTGAAAATAATTTTTTTAAAGATTTATTTATTTATGCACATAAGAGCTGGGGTACAAGCCAGAGGTGTGGGGGTTGAAAGAATTCACCAGAGACAGAGTAGGGAGCAGAACAGGCAAATTGACTGAAATACACTGCTGAGGGGCGCAACAGGAGGGTCAGGAGAGGCCTGCTGCGCCGTGTGGGTCAGCTCCCTGACTGGGGATTGAACTCGGCTGCAGTGGCTGCAGACAGCTTCACAGTGCTATGACTTAAACCCCTTGCATCACCAGGGAGGGCCCAGCTTTTTAAAAATAATTTTTAAGGGCCTCCTAGTGGTGCAGGGGTTAAAGTCTCAGTGCTATCAAGTTATCACTAGACACTGTGGCAGGAGTTCAATTCCCAACCAGGAAGTTAACCCACATGGTGCAGTCAACTTCTCCTATCACGCCTGCTGGTCCCCTCAGCAGTATATTTCAGCAGAGCTGCTTGCTCTGCTCCCCACAGTCTCTGGTGAACCATTTCACCCACCATACCTCTACACCCCAGTTCTTGCGTGCATAAATAAATAAAAAATAAGATAGTGCCCTCCCTGGTGGTGCAACACTGTGTTAAGTGTTAAGGTGCAGAACTGTGAAGCTTGCTATAGCTGCTTCAGTGCAAGTTGGATACCTAGCTAGGGGGGTGACTCATATGGCCTGCAGACCTCTCTCCTGATCCACCCACTGCTCCCTCAGCAGTGTACTTCTTCTATCTGCCTGTTCTGCTCCCTGCTCTGCCTCTAGTGAATCCTCTCACCACTCCTGCACCTCTGGCCTGTACCCCAGTTCTATATATATTAATAAATAAATCTTTAAGAAAATAAATAAAACAAATCTTTTTAAAAAAAAATTTAAAAAGAGGAATGTTTTTGAAAAATCACTATTCCAGCCTTCCTTTTCCGAAAGGTAATATGAAGGGTTTCAAGTTTTTCTTTCGACATTCATGAAATAGTTAATAAAATGGGTCCCTATTCCTCCCAATCACCACCGGACTCAAACACAAAATGATGCTAATTCACATTAAGGCATATCCTTCCAAGTGAATAGAAAAATCAGAAAGAAAAAGAGAAACTCCCGCAAGGCAGTCAAATTACCCAATTTACTTTGTTCTACTATGACAACTGCTGCTTAGTTTTAATTATTTGATACTACTTCATAGCATCCTAATAAAAGGGTCAGCACCCTCTCTGCAGGGCTCTTCAATTATATCTCTACTGAGAGAGACTACCTGGGTTTCTGTGAGAATTAAAGGGTTTGCAGATTAGTGGAGTCCAAATTAGCAGGCTAAGAGGTAGGATGCATGAGTCTGTTCTCAGTTCCCTGTAAAAACAATTAACGAGAAGGGTAACAGGATTATGGTTCTTTTTCCTAGGAGTCTGGCACTTCCCTTGGGAGAGCAAGCCTCCCGGAGACACTGTGCTGCCAGTGCAAAGTACCTCAAGATCCTTCCATGTGAATGCTGCTACTGAAATTCTGCATGGGACCATGTGTCAGAGGGCCCCACAGAGCAAATTGGTTACTGGTGGCTCCTCCATTCATTCATCTTTATGGCAAAATAGGGCACAGGGTTTTTGAAAAAAAAAAAAAAAAATTATATTATCCCCTTAGAATAATCCAGATTCCCCTTCAGTATAAATCACCAAAGTATTGACACAGCACCTGACAAGAGCTCAATAAATCTCATTGTGATAATAATAAGTGAATGCAAGCCTGGCACACAGAAGGTATTTCAGTGAATAGTTGTCAGAAAAAATGAAGAGACCCAACAAGATACTGGTTTTAGGGAAGGGGGAGGGAAGAATGACAGGCTCAAAGCGTAATTGTAGCATTATGAGCCCAACAAGAGGCTCATAATCAGAGGCCAGAAGCCTGCGTTCAAATCCCAAAGTGACCACAGAATGAGCGGCCTGATCTAAGTCACTGGGATCAGCCACCCCGCATGTAAAAATGTTATGATGCGTACTTAGCTTTCATGGTTCTTTCAGGAATTAGAAGAAAAAAATGTAGACAAATCACTTAGCACAACCTGACCTATGAAGCGGTGAAATAGGAAAGGGGTAAAAAATGTCCAGTAAGTGGACTATGGTGATGGCACACAGGTGATATGGTGATAAGAAGCCTACAGGGATTACACCCGAGATGGGAAAATGCACAAAATGATGTAAACATAAACTATTATGTTATTTTTTAATAATAATAATAATGAACAGCTATATACCAGAGACATTTTATGGGGGTGGAGTGGGGAATAGGATCAAAAACAGTGGGGGGAGGGAAATGCACTGGACTATGGTGATGGCACATGGGTGATTTGATGATGGGAAGCCCAAGGGGATTGCAACTGAGATGGGAAATGGCACAAAATGATGTAAAAATAAACTATTATATTATTTTTTAAAAAGATGTAATTTTCCAAAAGAGAGGGGATATAATAAAGTCATAATGAATTTAGACAAACATTAAATCCAGTATTATTCATGGAGCACAGGTGAACTGGGGAAGGAACTTCTATGGGGTCTACACCTGAGGGGCGAGTAAATATTGTTTAAAAATGAGCAACGATGTAAAATATATAAAAATAAATTAATTTAATTTAAAAAACTATTATTTTTTTAAAATGTCCAGTAAGCACTAAAGTTCCTTGCGCCTGCCTTGCCCCTGTCAGTGTGCCATACATCCAAGATGTATGCCCCAGACAGTTCTCGGGCTAAATCTATGCAGACAGCATCTATGTACCCCTTCTGCAGTGAGAAAACACGTTCTGGGGGTGTTTACAGACTGAGAACTGAGTGGGGATTCGAACCGGGGCACTATGTGCAGGGCACACTTCCTTCCAGTCACTAGAAGGTATTTTCCGCTCCTCTATCATCAACAACCACCCTAAAACTTCGGTGCTGAAAACAGGCACTTCCCAGCAGTCTTTGATGGCTCCCCCCACCCCAATTTCGTGAGGCACGGTTAATTATGCTCAGTGAAGCAGTGAAGCTCAATGAAGTTCTACAATTTGCCCGAGTCATCAAGCGCGACCCCCAAACCCCAATATCGAGGAGCAGACACCCCTTTCTCACTCGCCTCCTCGTGGGAAGCCTCTCCTCAGCACTCACAGGTAGACAACCTCTGCGTTTGGTCTCCCAAGGCATACCTCACACCCCGTACCTTGACAGGAATCCTAAAATCACTTCCGTGCCCACCTCAGTGTCCCCAACTGTCCTCAAAGCCCCCCCTTGCCCGCTGCCTGACAGCCCGGGCTGACCACCTCGCCCATCGCCCTGGCATGAGCTACAGAACACAGCAGTGTGGGGGAAGGGGAGCCGCACAGGGCGCATGCCCAGAAGGCTCCGTTTGGCCCCCAGCTCACCTGGGAGTCACGGAATTCCACCACCACGTTCTCGCTGCTCCATCGCGCCGCCATCTCCCGTTCCCCGTAGCTGCGGCCGCAAAACCGCGCCTTCTCACCCTCTACACCGGCATTCCCAGGCTCCGCGAGCCTCACGGAGCCCGCGAGTCAAACCCACCACGTCTCACCCCCTTTTGCCTGACGGCAGACTATTGGCTGACACAAGCATTGGCACCACCCTTCTTCTGGATCCTCCAATCATAGCTCCGCCCTTGCCCCCAAAACAGGCACGCCCCCTCCACTTCCGTCACGGGGCTCAAGTCGCCCACGCTCCTCGCGGCTGTAGACACACGCCCCCAGCCGCAAATTCTGCCGGGAGTTGTAGTCCACGGTGGAGCAGGGCCATGTAATAAGGAAAAGGCTTGCGGTTTGGTGGAGGGGGTTATCTGCCCTGCCTCTCTCCTCATTGGTGAACCTGGCAGTTTTTGTGCAGGTTGCTTCTTCTCCTGAAGTCTGCTATAAAGTCACCGGCAAGTCTGAGTGCATCACTTCTTACTTCATATAATACAACTGTGTCTGCGAAGAGTGTCTAGGGACCCCGGGAAAGAGGATTTCTCCACACCTTTACAGAAGTTGTCCTTTAGGAAAAACAGTTTTCATCATCATTGTAAGAAGTGATTTGATCCTTTCTCTTTCTTTCACCAGTATACAATGGAGTTTTCTAGAAATTTCATGACACTTACTGTAATAGATTGAATTAAAAACCAGATGTGAGAATCCAGCGGTTTTCTGTTAAGTGAAACATGAAAGGGTTTTACAGCTCGTTTCACTAAGAGTTTTTGTCTTGGGAAACATTTTTCAATGACAAAATGTATTATTAATGTTTACATGCATTGATGTATAAATGAAATATCATATTATAATTTCTATATTCTAATTAATTACTATCGATAGAGCCCCTCAAGGTTTTTTAAGTTTTTTGATAATTATAAAAAACATAAAGGGGTTCTGAGCTCAAAACATTTAAGAATGGTTGCGCCAGCATGGTAAGCGTTGATTAAGTTCTCCAAGTCCCACCTTCTCAAAACCTGGCTTATCTAGTTCAGCTTCAGTTTCTTTACAGAAAGGGGGTATGACTTATCATCCTTGGTTGCTGTCAGGAGTCAAACACTGGACTTGGAATGTATTCAGCGCTTAAATGTAAATTGTTATTGTTGTTAATGTTATTTATTTGTGCAAATATTAGCAAGAATAAACACAAAGGGCTTCCTTTGCCTTCTGCAGTAGTGTTGAGTGTTATAGGGGAGGCAAACATGCCTAGATACACTGGGGTAGGTCTACACTTGGCAGAATTAACTGTGTTTTAGGAAAGATTTACAAGCAACATGCTAGGAGAGGACAACCTACTTGGGGTACCTGACATGGCACCCTGAAGAAGGTATCATTTCATACTTTCTGTATAATTTTAGAATTGTAATGAGTACACTAACAAAAAAAGAAGAAGAAACCCCATAAACCATCAGTATTATAAGTAGGATTTCAAAACCAAAAACCAGTCCCCAAAACTGCACTCATGGTACTTCTGTGCTGCTTTCTTCACTTCCAAATACACATCACGGTGTCTCTCTGGTGACGCAGGGGTTAATGTCTCTGCTCTATCAAGCTGTATCACCAGCCACTGCAACATCAATTGAATCCCTGGCCAGGTTGCTGACCCATATGGCACAGCAGACCTCTCCTGTCTTGCCCACTGCTCCCCTCAGCATTGTATTTCAGTAAACTGCTTCTTCTGCTCCCCACTCTGTCTCTGGTGTAAACCTCATCCTGCCCCCTCCCCCGCACACAATTGTGTGTAGGCCCCCCTCTGGCCTACACACAATTCTTGTATGTATAAATAAATGAAATAATTGGGCCCTCCCTGTGGCACAAGGAGTTAAAGCACAGCTCTGTGAAGCTGTCGGCAGCCACTGCAGCACAAGTTTGATCCCCGGCCAGGGAGCTGACCTCCATGGCGAGGCAGACCTCTCCTGACCCGCCCGCTGCTCCCCTCAGCAGTGTACTTCGTCGATCTGCCTGTTCTGCTCCCCACTCTGTCTCTGGTGAATCCTCTCTGAATCTGGCGTGTACCCCCGTTCTTGTATGGATAAATAAATAAATCCTTTAAAAATAAATAAATAAAATACATCTTTTAAAATAAACAAAAAACATATCACAACTTGCAATTCAATATTTATTTGTTTATTTATTGTTAGGTTTCAGATCAGGGACTGGATCAGGAGGACAGGGACTGTCACCCTGAATGGTATGACTGCATATACAAGGCACTCATGAATTTCTATCCAAATAATGAATGTGAAAGCATATAAAATCACTACCCCAAAGTATTGTCCAGGTAGAAAGGTAACTGATGATCCCCAGAGAAAAGGGCCGTCCCAATTTCCCTGCCCCATCCAAGGATGGGTGGAGCTGAGCAGGGAGAAGAAGCTGGAGAGGAGACTAGAAGAGGAAGAAAGGAAGGAAGGAAAGAAGCCAGAGCCCTGGAGGAGGCACAAGGAGCAGAGACATGTGAAAAAGCTGTGCTTGCTTCTCGGCCTGGACTTGAACCAGGTACTTGGGACATGGAAGGAGAAACTTGAAACAGACGTGGGTGAGAGCCAGGTGGGGAGGTGAACAATGGCAGCCTTTATCTTGATTCTGATTTTGCTTCTTTTGTCTCAGATTTGCCTGGCCCCTTCCATCCCTTCCTGATGGGTCCTACTGTGACAGGTACAAGTTTCATGGACTCCGCCCCCACTCCAGATGCTGGAACTCCAAATCCGATCAGTACCATGGAGAAGCACGCTGGGACGTGACAACAGAGCTGAGCAGCCAGGTTGGGATAAAACCAGACATGTGGGCTCTGGGAGTCTCTTGGCCTGGCAGTTCGCGGCTGATCGTTTTGGCTCTCCATCAGTTTTCAGCGTGCTGGTAGAGTCCAAGTCAGCAGAACTGGTAGGACATCCTAGCTAACTTGTATTTCTCTCCCTCTTTCCCTGGGTTATTCCTTTACCTTTGTCCTTATAAATAAATCCATTATTTAACCTTTTTGAGTGTGTCCATAATACGATTGAATCATAAGCGCGCCGGTGAAGACTCACAGACAGGCAACCCAATTCACATTGGGGTGCCCTGTAACAGGTACTCAGTCTATCTGCCGAATGATTGGTCAACGGCTAGATACAGCTACAATTTAGGATGTGTGGCGAGATATATAGTGGAAAGCACAGTTAGAAAAGTTTGTATTTAGAAATATATAAGGAAAGAAAGATATAGATATGTCAAAACTCTCTGTCTCCCTAATATAGTTTGGTAATCTGTTTCCCACTCAAAGTATCAATGCTGTTAAGGCAGTATCACCCTTACCTTAGCATTTTTACAACTCTTTGTCAACTCCCACCTCTTTAATTCGTATTTGTCTAGTTCCCAGAATTTGCTTGTCATGATTCGTAGCACAAAAAGTACTTTGGGTGCAAGTTCTTGATGCTCCCTGTTCTCCCTATTTTCTCTCATAACTGTGAAAATGGCCCACTAGAATGTCTGAGAAAAAGAACACAAGCGCCTTTCAAACTGTCTCCTCGGGCCCTTCCAACCCACATTTGTATCATCACACAAGAGTGGGGACTCTGAAGCTAAATCTAGAACTCTCTGGCTGTGTCTGCATCTGCACCTCAAGACTGAGGACCTTCAGGGGTCCTTTGTCAAGTAGACTTCAACTTGCTGACAAAGCTACAGGGGCTTGCTCACCAAATAACTCTTTTCACAGTGTCACTTGTTAACCAAGCCTCAGGAAGGTGGGAGAAGGGCTAGATCCAGTAATCCAGGGCTTTGGCTGGCTCTTATCAGTGACTAGCCTTGCCAGTTTGAACTAGAGCTTTTATCTGGTCCTCCATTTCCTCTTCTTCCGAGAAAGTCAGTTAGCTGACCCTTTCAGTTCCTTTACATCTGGGAATCTGGAAATTCTACCATGATCTCCACTAGTAATTTCCTTTTCCAGGTCAATCAGTGAATATTTGCAACAGCAAGACCAGACTCAGGGTTGTGTGTTTGGTTGTTCATTTACCCTGGTTTCTCTAACTTTTCTCATTCCAGGTCAAGCAATACAAATATAAAGAGCTCCATGCTGTCTGGGAGGGAGATTCTTTCCTGGAGACACTTGTTCCTCCCCAGAGAAGGTGCTGGGGGCTTCTTCTAAAGCCATGGGTGGCTCTCATGCTCTGGCTCCTGAGGGAGGTCTCTGAAGGCTTTCCATTTCCATTTCTGAAGGCAAGCCATTTCCCCCACTGCCTGACCCCCTTCAAGGCCCAGACTTAGATTCTTCCTGAAAGGTTTAGGCCTAGGGCTTTGTAGCTTTCCTGGAGCATTTGTGGAAAAAAGCTTTAGACAACACCATTGTGTCAGTTCTTTCTTCTGACTGTTGTGATAGGTGGGTCAGTGGTTTATTAACTCTGTTACACAGCTGAAGAAGAGCCAGGAAGCAGCTCACCCAGAGTCACTGAAAGCATGAAGAAAGTAAAATGGAGTTTCCAAATTTAACTAGTACCATTTCTGCATCTCATATGCTTGCAATAAGAATGCCCAAATGACCAGACACCTCCCCAGACGCAATGTCTTTAGACCAAGGGCCCAGACAAACACACACAGGACTCTTGATAGAACATAATGAGCTACTCTGTTGGCACAAGTGGTTAAAGAGCAGCACTATGAAGCTATCAGCAGTCACTGCAGCCTGAGTTTGATTCCTGGCCTGGGAGGTGACCCACATGGTGCAGCAACCTCTCCTGTTTTGCCCGCTGCTCCCTTCAGTAGTGTATTTCAGTAGATGTTCTGCTACCTGCTGTCTCTGGTGAATCCTCTTACCCCCCACCCCCGCACCTCTGGCCTTACTTCCCAGTTCCCAGTTCTTGTATCTATAAATAAATAAATCTAAAAAATAACCACCAAACTATTCTGCAGCCTTGGGTCTTTCTGCTTCCAGTTACTCTGCTATGAGTCACTCTGTGAGATATACAGTATGGAATCAAGCTACTGAATAAAGAACTCTCCCTGCTGTCTATTTTAACATTTTCATTTCAGAAGGAAATTGTGATTTGCCTAAGCACACAAGGAGATAACAAGAGCATCTTCCAAAAAGGCTGCTGTGCAGGGCCCCAAAGGGCACTTAAGTTTAGCGTCACCACCTTCCAGAGAGTAGAGGCTTCTTCTTTGCAGTGCAGGCTCTTCGCGATCAGCGGTGCTGGATGGGAAAGACTGGCTTATAAATATGTCCAATAGACTGGAATATAAACCTGAAAGCCCAATTAGTAATTTACAAAAAGATATACAGCTGTTGAACAGATCTATTTCCCCGCTTCCCTTGGAAATCACTCAGAGAAAACATATTTGCTGTCTAAAGGCTTCTTGAAGAGAGTGTTGAAAAAGTTCTGAAGTTTGGAAATCCAGACTTGCTCTTTTAGCTAAGTGACTTAGAATGAAAGTGGTACCTATCACTATCCATTCAGTCATCCATCTATCTCATTTCAACACTACAAGACAATAAACCATATCATAAAATGAAGTATCTCATCGTTCTTATCACCTCTCTTCATTTCTTTCCATCTCCCATTCCATCCAGAGAATGTCATTATATTGTTTTATGTCTCCATCTCCATGAATATATAAGCAAAGAAAAATATAGATATTTATTTGGGAAGGGGCAAGTTTCTTAATTTCTTTAAATCTTGATATCTTCAGTTTTCATCAATCATTATTATTAAAGATTTATTTATTTATGTGTATAAGAACGTGGGTACAGGCCAGAGGTGTGGGGGGGGTGAGAGGGTTCATCAGAGACAAAGTGGGGAGCAGAACAGGCAGATCAATGAAGTACACTGCTGAAGGGAGCAGCGGGAGGGTCAGGAGAGGTCTGTTTCACCATGTGGGTCAGCTCCCTGGCTGGGGATCTAACTTGAGCTGTAGTGGCTGCAGATAGCTTCACAGTGCTGTGCTTTAACCCATTGCACCACCAGAGAGGACCCTTGGCTATTATTATTAATGAGAATGAGCTTGATATGTTTTCCTACAGCTCCCTGTTTCCTCAGGATATTGACCATGACCTTCTTGTTTGCCCCTGAGGGTCAGCTTCCTCTTGGCTCCCACCTCCCATACCCTGCCCTGTAATACTCCTCCATTGTAGCTCTACCACAACATTCTATTCCTTGAGGATGTGGTTTTCACTAGACCTTCAAGCATACAATTTCCTTTGCTTGGACTTTCTACTTGTCCTAAAATACTTCTCCTACTTGTCCCCATTGCCTGGCTTATCTCCAATTCATCATTTAGGCTCAGAATCACTGTTCATACTTGTCTTTCTATTTACTATGTTCTCCCTCATAGCATTTAATCATTCATTTAACAAAATCTGTTGAGTTCTACTACACACTAGGTAACTGGTTCTAGGCTTATCAGGCATAATTATGGTCACTGTCTGCTATACTACATATATATGTATATAAAAATATATTTATATAATATATGTATACAGCATTGCACTGTAATTCACATACCATAAAATTTGTCCTTTTAAGTGCATAATTCAGTGGTTTTTAGTATATTCACAAGATTGTGTAACCACCACCATTATCTAATTGCAGAGCATTTTTATCACTCTAGAAAGACGCACATTAACAGTCACTCTCCATTCTCTCTTCCTCTTAAGCCCTGAAAATCATTATCCTTTCCTATCTCAACCTATTGACGTATTCTGGACATTTCCTAGAAATGGACTCATATAATATGTGGTCTTTTGTGATGGACTTTTTAAACTTAGTATTATATTTTCAAATTCATCCATGTTTTCCTATGTATCAACTCTCCTATGTATCAACTGATTAACAGTCCATTTTATGATATACCACATTTGGTTCAGCCGTTCACCTGTTGATGAATATTTAGATCATTTCCATTTTTAGCTATTTTAAACAATACTGCTATGAACACTCTTGTGCCAGTTTTTCTGTGGATATAGATCTCCATTGTTTTGAACATAACTCTAGTAATGAAATTGCTGGGTCATATATAACTATGTTTAATCATTTTGAGGAACTATCAGACTGTTTTCTGTCAGCACCAAGCTCTAACCAGATGAGCTAACTGACCAGACTGTATGTACCATTTTACATTCTTATCAGCGAGGTGGAAGAGATCTGATTTCTATATATCTCATCAACACTTGATGATGGCCACACTGGTGAGTTTGTAGTGGTTCTGTTGAAACTGTATGAGAACACGGACTCCACTTAACTTATTTATCACAGTCTCACAGAACCTTGTAGAGTGCCTGGTACTTATCAGATATTCCCATTTTATTTAGTATACTAAAACCCAGTTAATAAGTAAGCCATAGGCTAAATAGATGGGTATAATCCTTGTTGGTTGTGTGTCTTTACATATTTTTTAGGGCTGCTGGGTGAAGAGACCTCTTCCTTCTGTTGGGGTGGAAAAGTAACTCACTTGCCAGATGAAGATGCAAGGCATGTTGAGTCCAACAGTTTAATAATTGCATGCATAGGAACTCTCATTTAACCTCCTGACTTCATTTGAACAGGGTTTCTGCATATTAATTTTCACAGTTCTTTTGTGTGCACAAATCCCTCACTAGGCACTTAGAAATAATTGCTTGGGTATAGACACATTTAATTTTTTCTTACCTTCATTTCTCATATAGAACTCATACAAACTTCCTTTTGTAGGGATTTGACTCACCCGAAAACAATCCATGATTACAAATAGCTTGTCTTAAGTTCTTTTCCAAGCTGGTCACACTGTGACTGTCAGTACCCATGACAGGCCAGCCCTTCTTTTTTGACTTTTAAGATTTTCTACATTCTTTTTTTTGGTTCCTTGGGGGGATACTGAGGGCAAGGAATTCAGGCCAGGAAGAGGGTGATGCTCATAGCCAGGCTTAGATCTTGAAAACTAGTTGAATGCAGGAACATAAAAATGAGAGACGTATTACAAAACTTAGGGTGGGTTGACAATTATTTATTGAGCATCCAATGTCTCAGACCCTGTGGTACAAAACAGGAGTCCCCCATCTTGGACTAGGGAGGATTCAAAATTCCTCCTAATGACACTATCCCATGTTTATATCTTTTGACTTATTATTTTTCTCCTTCCCCCCTTTATCTTATCACTACCTCTAGTGCTTTTTCAGCATCACATTTTAGCTAAAGAATCTACCCATTTGCTTAAGACTTAAATAGGAAAATGCACTTGTCAGCACCACTGTCAGCAGAATGCAGAGTGGCAGTTTCACAGTCATTCTTTACCCCGCAATTACTAAAAATCCCCCAAATGTTAAGCTTCCAAATTATTGGGGACCTTGGAGGATGGACCTCCGAAAGAGTGGATGGCACGTCCACCAGGGGGTGCTGTGGGGGCAAATTTGTGACGGGAAGAGAGCTTGACCAGTGACCCTTGGAGCCAGGTAGGCGTCCAGGGTAATTTTCATTCTTCCGGGTGTTTCCCTCCCACCAGCTGGAACCAAAGCCGACCCTCCCC